GTCTTCTTGAATTTTTTTTTAAAAAAACTCAGTGTTTGATTTTTTTTTATTAATATTTTTTGTTACTTTTGTGTTTGTGTGTAATTTTGTTTGAGGTTTTAACTGATTTTGATCTAATTCTGATTGTGAACTGTTTTGAAATTTTTTGAATTGTTTTGTGTTGCGTAAACTGTTTTAATCAGTTTTAACTGTTTCTGACTGTTTTAACAGTTTTTAACTGTTTTCAACAGTTTTTGACTGTTTTTACTGATTTTTTTACAGTTTTCGTTGATTTTCTGATTTCTCATCAGTTTTTGACCTTATTGATTGATTTTGATTTCTTTAATTGATTTCTCCGTATTAGATTCGTTGATCAATCTAAAATGACATTTTTTCTTGAGAAGGAGAACATGGAATTGAAAGAGAAAGTTTCGGAATTGGAAAGGAGTGTAAAGGACTATACAGATAAATATATCAACATGTTTTATGAAAATCATGCTAATGAGGAATTTGTTGCCAATTTACGAAAGGAACATAAAAAATCTATGAAACAAGTTGAAAAGAACTTCATGCATAAGATTGAAAAGCTTGAGAAAACTCTGAGGTTTGTCAGAAAAGAGTATGATGACGAATTGAAAACATGGAGTAAAGCTAATAAAGATCTGTTTAATAAACTTCAAGAGGTTAGAAGTGAACTGCAAACTGAGAGGAACTCTTCTGGGAGAAAAAATACAGAGACTGAGGACTTCATTGAAAAATTTCATAAGTCTGAAGTGATATGAGTGAGTTAAGAAAGTTACTGGACTTAGAGAAAGAAAAAGCTTTGGAAACTGTAAAAAGTTTCAATTTCGAGAGAACATAATTTGAGACAGAGAAGAAGAGCTTTGTTGAATTATAGAGAAGATTTGGTGTTGAACGCCTTAAGAAAATAAGATAAACTCCTTAGAGTTGAACGCGAAAATGCTATTAAATCAGATCTCTGATTTTGAGCAGCTGATTATCTTGGAAGGAGCCAAGATTGATAAAGAGAAGAACGACATCAGAGAAGAATGTCTGAGCAAGAATCAGAAACTGTCTGACAGCATTGCTCAAAAGTAGAATGTTTTAGACGAAGAGAAGAAGCAATTTGCGCTTGAAAAAAAGAAATACTTCAAAGAAATATGCCGTTATAGCTAAAGAGCTTGCTGAAAAGAAAAAGTGGCTCGACATTGCTTCTGAGAATGAGAAGAGCAGCTCAAATGAAGAGAGAAGAGAGTTTGACAATGAGAAGAAGAAATTTGAGAAGCTGAAGAAAGAGTTAGAAGGTAAACTCCTGGATACTTCAAAGAAATTGTCTGATCTGAAGACAGAACTTGAAACTGAACTGAGAATGAGAACCGAACTCAAAGAGAAGTATGATTTAGATGCTGATGAACAAGACTAGCTTTTAAAGAAAGTCAAAGACTTTTTTTGTGCTCAAAGCTCAACTGGTTCTCCTTCACAGTGTAAAACCAACTTTTATGACTATTCTAAGTCTAACAGTTATTCGAGCAGTCCTAAATCTAATGTTTCTAAGAACTATTCTCGATCTTCTAATCAGTATTATCAAGGGTATATTATCGGATCACCCAATTCTCATTCTAAAGTTAAAAGCGTTTGGATTAATAAGTCTGAATCTGTTTCGTCCCGTAATTCTGTTGTTACTAATAATAATCTTCCTTGTTTTGTAAGATCTACTACTGATCTGATTAATCTTAGCAAGAGAAGAATCATGTGCTCCACATGCAAGACAACTGATTTTGTTAACAGGAAACGGTACAACAGGTGGACTGACGATAACAGATTTCAGAAAAGTTGGAAAGGTTATAACAAGTATGATTACAATAACTGGTATGGATCTTACTGCATTTGTGATCATCCTGTTAAAAGCGCGAAAAAGAGAACATCTAATAAAAATAGATGGTTTGGAAGTTACAACATCCTACAACCTGATACTAACAAAGAAGGACCCAAGTTCGTTTGGGTACCAAAATCTGTTTGATCTTATTTTGCAGGTGTGTCATTAATGCGCTGATCAGAGAATCATGTTTATGATGCACTAATTCAGGGGGAGTTGTAAACTGTCAAACAAAGGCTTTTGAATATATCAGTTCAGGACCCGTTTAGGACCCATGCTAAAAATGTTGTTGGTTTCTAAACACCCAGTTTAGGACCCGTACTAAAAATGTTTCCAATTTTTTTTAAATTTTTGAGTTAAACTGAAACATTACTTAAATCTATTTTCTAGGCGGAGTCTCTAGAAATTTTTGAATAAATGTTTTCGAACAGTGAATATTTTTTTATAAGGAAAAATACATTTTCTGATCAAGTATTTCCTGATATTTTACTTGCGTAATTTCTCATCGTACATAACTCCAATACCTGTTTCAGCTATTCTTGAAACTGTTATTATCACGTCTCCTAAAATAATATCATTTTCGATGATAATACGCTCGTTAATAATCAAAGTTTGTTTTCTGATTTTTTTTGTACTTTGATTGATACACATTCATTAATTCTTTGAAAATCAGAATCTGTAAACTTGTACTTACAGATCTTCATTCATTTCTCTCACATTCTAAATAATCTGATTGTTGTTACATCACTCCTTGTTTAATTGTGCTTAAAAGCTACATCTTGATCAATTTTATCTGATCATTGTGCTTTACAAAAATAATTTTCTGATCAACTACTTGTGGTCAATTTGAGCGTACTACTAAATTTAGGAGGGACTGAGTGCTTAACATAAATATCTCTATAGAATGTCAGAACCGACAAACCTACCCAAGAGGACAACTATATATGAGTGAGCTTAAACTCAAAAAAGGGTTTGTATGCTGAGATTAAAATGAAAAAGAGAGGGGTAGTTGTTGTGAACCAAAAGAATTGATAAGGGTTGTGTCAGGATTAAAATATTACAAGAATCTTGTTCCAAACTTCAAAATACCGGGCATACCACATAATCTATTAGTTCTCAATTCTTTCGAGACTAATATTGAAAAAGACAAAGCCCAAGCCAATTCTTGTCACAACCCCACCAGCTACTCATTTATCTCTCAACAGATAAGTGTTTCAATAATACTTGGGGCACGCAGCTCACAATCTATCAATTTCTCATTCAAAGAAAGTTGATATTGAAACTGAAGGATATATGTCCCCCCTTCAAGTATTTTTGATCACTAATTGAGTCTGATAAATTTGTGTAGTCCACACGGTTTATCTTTTTAAGGCCAAATAGAAGCATTAGTTGCTTTATCTTTCTACACTACACAGATTTTGCAAATTATATGTTATTTTGCCGAAACATTCATAGATATACTTTTTATAAGATATAGATGATTGAATGGAAGACCTGGTGAGATGAATCTTAAAAAGTCTCATATATGAAGTACATCCGTTGTACTGAATATATCTGTTATATTCACAGGCCAATCTTTTTATAAGATTGAAAACAATTTCATAAGTTGAAATTGGTTGTTACCTTCCCATTCCCTTAATCTAAAAAGATTATACAAGTGGATTTGAAAAGATCTACTTACAATTTTATGAATTGACAGCTTTCAATGAAAGTTTCATTCATTCTAGTGTATGATGCAAATGATTCACATTTCATCATAAGGGGGAGTATGAAATAATGAATGAAATGTTCAATTCCGAACGATATAAGGGGAGTATGATATATAAGATCAAGGGGGAGTAACATCAAAGATCGGCAAAAGACTCAAAGGAGTGTGACTGGAAATTATTACTGAAGATTATTCTTGTGCTACAATGTCTGAGAGTTTTTAAATGTAAAGATCATTGTTACAAAAGTTTACTAATAAAGATTTCTCGTCGAAAAGAATGTTTGATTTGGGAGAAGAATGTTTGAGATTTTATCTAAAGAAATTCATTTTTGGGAACAATGTTAAAATTTGATTATGAAGAAGATTTTTTGAAGATCATATCTTGAAGATCGTTGCTGATATTGTTCTACATTGTTAAAAGAGAAGATCGTCACTGTTCTACATAAGGGAGAAAATGTTAGAAGATTTTATCAACTAACGATCATCTGAAGATTTCAAAGTAAAGACTACTTTTGAAGATTTTGAAGAAATTATAAAGTGCTTAAAGTGACAAAGTTCAAACGAGATTCAAAGCGCGAAAATTCTTTCAAGTCTGAATACAAAGAGGGAGAATGTTAGGACTGAATTTCATTGTAAATTGTATTTGTCTTGGAAGTACATAAATGTCTATAATTAAATAGACATCGTGTTTAACTTTGTATAGATAGTTTGACTTTGACTAGAGGGTTAATACTTTGACCCTATATAAAGGTTTTGTCTTTTGTGTAAAGGTAGGAGATTTCATTTGTAACAGTATGTATATTTTGAGAGTTTATAAAGCATTGACTAGTTTGACTATTTCTCTCATCTCTCCTCTCAATGTTCTTGAATGATATATTTGATTCTGCCATGGATATCTTGATGTTTACTTGAAGATTGATCATAGTGGACTTACATAACGATTGATTAATTTTTTGAAGCCAAACATCATTACTCATTCCATTTTCAATCCATAATTGGACCAAACAAAATCAATGATTATCATTTCTAATCATTACCTTATAATACCCCCAACCAAACACACCCTAGTTCTTAAGCTTGGTCACTTTGGGACTTTAACTTAACGCGGATAGACTGATCACTTTGAAATGTTAATATTAGATCCTTGATCCAGAGATAGACGAATTCGAATACCGCTTAAGTGATGCACGAAGATTTGAGAAAGTATTTGATAATCACAAAGAGATATTGATTTTGTAGTTTTCAGCTAAGGTTCAAATAAATACTAATCAAGATTTATATTACAAAAATGTAAATCTTCAAATTACTGGAACTAGATATCTTATCACTTAGCTAATTCGACAAACTTAAAATCTGTGATATTGGGAACTTTGTGGGCACATTGTGCCAACTGTGTGAACACATACAATTTTTGCCTACCACTCTGATAAGGATGTAAAATTTAGAAATGAAAATTTGATGTTTCAGCAAGGGGATGATGAAAAGGTTTCATATGCATGTGAGAGATTCAAGGAACTTCTTCGAAAATGTCCTTATCATGGAATCCCTCATTGCATTGAATTGGAAACATTTTACAATGGTCTTGAATGTTACTTAAATAATTCTTGATGCTATGGTCGGTGGCACTTCACTTGTAAAACTTATAATGAAGGATATAAGATTTTAGATAATGTTTCCAATAATAACACTGACTGGTTAATAATAATATTGTGTCTTAATGAACTATGTTGGGAACCATTTTATAAGTAGTCCATTTTCCCAAACATACAATCCGAATTGGCGGAATCATCAAAAATTTTCTTGGTCAGGAAATCAAGGACTTCAACAACCATGGAAAAGTCAAATCCAAATTCGATCACCAAATTCCCTGAGATTTCATCAAGGTGCTACTTGTAAAGCCCAAACTTTCGAGGAAATAAAATAATGCCTCTTAATTATTATTTCTATTTCATTTGTGAATATACATATATATATATATATATGTAAATTAAAAATTAGAAATTTAAAATAAGTTAAATTTGTTTTCTTTTACTTACGGCTAAGGGCTGAAGGCTCCAATTAGAGGGGGGAGCCTGCTGTCAGCTTGGGAGGGGCAGCAGAGGCACAGGCAATGCCTGGCCCAATTAAGGAAACTGCGACCTGCATGGTTGCAGGCTGTGGAGAAGACAGTTTCATAGCCCAAAACTCGGGATTTGGCTGATTTGGTCAACTAATAGGCCAAATCCTTTGAGKATAAATCATGGGCACTGGCTTGGAGTCGTTACTCTTTGAAAAGGTGAAGGAGATCGTCGAGCTTGAGAGTGAGAAAACGGAGTTCAAGACCCAGCAAGAAACCCCCCTGCTTCTCGTCGTTTAGAGGTAAATACTCAACCAAATTTTATGTTAATAAAATGTCTAGCTATGACTTTGGTCCTGCATAGAACCGTAGAAGGCTCACGTCCAAACCTTGTGTCTTAAGGTTCGATTTCAAGGATAAGATTTCAGTTGTTAAACATGCTATATCACATTCTACTTAGATGCCACCTTAGATAATGTTACACAGAAGTCCTGCATGAGAGTTCTGTGTCAAGCGTGTTAGACAGAAGCTCTGTATGAGGGCTTTGTGTCATGTTAGCCAGAAGCTCTGCAAGAGAGCTTCGTAACAAGTTACGTTATACAGAAAACTCTACATGAGAGCTCTGTATCAAGTTGTTTAAGACATGCTCTGGAAGAAACCACAGAGGGACTCTGGACTCTTAATAAAATAATTTTAGTTAAGTCACAGAGGCTCTGTCGATAGACACAGAGGCTCTGGTCCTTAGTACCAAAKTTTCTAAGGCTCCAACCACAGAGGCTCTGGTCAATACCACAGAGGCTCTGGTTGTGAGACTATAGCTCTGTGAAAGAGACCACAGAGGGGCTGGTCGATACCACATAGGCTCTGGTCCTATCCAAGACTTAGCACAGAGGCAGCCTTAGAGTTTCATCCTTAACCCCCGATGGCTTGATAAGACTTATAGAATAGCAAGCAGATAGTTGACCTTTATAGTCCTTGAAGGAATCTATCATTTATGTACTATTCGCTATTATAAATTGTAGGGTACCAGTCAGCACCGTTAAGTAAGCAATCGACATTATCAGGTGAGTCTTCATGAGACTTACAATGGGATGCATACCTATGTATAAATATATTTTCAAGCACTATACGATTTATATGATGATGGTACAAGTGCATGATGTTTCAGTTTACATACATGATATGTTTTTACATGTATGACGTTTTTATGATCAGTTGCATGCTATGTGTTTAATCAGTTTTCGAATAACTCTAGCATGCTATTCCATGATAAAAGTTATGACCAGTTTTAGTGGGTGAGCATTTGACCAGGAAGTCACATGACAAGTGGCACGACCCCGTAATGAGTGTCTAGGC